ATACACGGTGTACAGGGTCCTGAATGTGTGTGGTGTGTGTGTGTTGTGTGTGTGTGTGTGTGTGTGTGTGTGTGTGTATTCACCTAGTTGAGGTTGCAGGGGTCGAGTCCTAGCTCCTGGCCCCACCTCTTTACTGGTTGCTACTAGGTCACTCTCTTTGAACCGTGAGCTTTATCATATCTCTGCTTAAAGCTATACTTGTATATGGGTCCTGTGTGTGTGTGTGTGTGTGTGTGAGCACGCAATCATGTGTGTGTGTGTGTGCACGCGTTCATGTGTGTGTACTCACCTAGTTGTGGTTGTGGGGGTCGAGTCACAGCTCCTGGCCCCGCCTCTTCACCTGGCCGCTATCCGGTAACTCTTCACGCTCCGTGAGCTTTATCATGCCTCTTCTTAAAGCTATGTATGGATCCTGCCTCCACTACATCACTACCCAGGCTATTCCACTTCCTGACAACTCTGTGATTGTAGAAATACTTCCTAACATCCCTGTGATGCATCTGAGTCTTCAGCTTCCACCTGTGACCCCTCGTTGCTGTGTCCCATCTCTTCAACATTCTGTCTCTGTCCATCTTGTCTATACCTCTCATACCATAACTCGCTGTTGTCTTCCTGACAAGTATTCTCTGATCCACTGTAGTGCCTTCCCTGTTATCCCTGCTTGGTCCTCCAGCTTCCACACTAATCTTGTATGTGTGTGTGTGTGTGTGTGTGTGTGTGTGTGTGTGTGTGTGTGTGTGTGTGTGTGTGTGTGTCTGTGTGTCTGTCTGTCTGTCTGTCTGTCTGTCTGTCTGGCTTTTTTTTCATACATATGCAAGAGTTATGAGGATACAATACTATATTGAAGATTTTTTAAGAAAGCAGAAAACTATAAATCTAAAAATAACATCCAGATTGCAATAAAATGTTGCATTTTGTGTTATGTATAACATAGTAAAATAATTTATCAGGAAAAATCATTGCTAAGTAATCCCTTAACCCCTTGGGGAGATGATAATACAGTCAGGTAGGTGATGACTTGGTGTTCTCATTTTACCAGTTTCCTTATAATATTGCTCTACAATATAATGTCACTAGCAAGTCATGTCATGAACAGCTGAAAGCTATTGATTAACACCAAGCACAATAAAAAATCATCAGATTATGTCTGGAATTTTTCATAAATTGATAGAAGGAATTTTTTTAACACCTGATATATGTTAATGACTTGTCAGGTTTCTTATTTATGGAGTGTTTTCCATTTTTTATACAGCATTTTATTTGTCTTTCATTTTCACCTTTTGTACACACATGAGAATTTTATTTTAATTGAAATTGAGTGATCATCTGTGGAATTACGGGATTCCATAAGGTATGAAAATGGTAAAAAATAAAGAAAGGTCCAGATATGGAATATAGGCTTTAGGAACAGAGGCTCCCAACTTCAGAAAAATAAAATAGCAAAATGATTTAGGGGTAATCATAAGTTAAAGCATATTATTGGTGGTGCATCTCAGTCAGTTGATCACAGCAGTATGCATGCACCTGGCAAACTTCAGAAAGATTTTCAGGTTCTTCAGCAAAGAGCTCTTTAAGACTTTATATGACATATGTTAGATTTGTTATTGAATACACATTGTCAACATGGAGCTCTTGTCTGAAAAGTAGAGAGAGAGACCAGAATGTCTTGACATGACTTATTAAGGTTATTAGGAAGAGAGTTCAAGGTTGAGCATTGTTCATCATTAATACTTAAGGGATTTAACTCTTGATGGCTTAATGCACTGGTTACAATCTTACTGTATCTCAGGTGAAAACTCCTGCAAGTGCTTGTACTTACAGTTGTACCTACAAACTCATGGACTTCTGTATTTATGGTTTTTAATTATCCAACTTTTTTGCTAATGGACAGTCACAAATAGTTTAAGTTATTCAGTTTTTTTTTTTTTTTTTTTTTTTTTTCCTCAGTGGCTCTCCCATGTTCAAATATCTCTCTTTTTCTGGTCATTATTTCTTATGAATGCCAATATTAACAATATTAGATTAGTAATATATTAGAGATATTTTCTCTAAAACGAAATAACCAAAATCTGAAATAAATTGTTTGTGCAGATTTAATTTTGTGTTATTTGCAGTTTCAAATTTCATGGAACCTTTAGGAACGTAAACCTCAAAAAATTTGTAGGTATGACTGTATGCATACAAAAATACAAAAAGGTGTACTGTTCAGTTCAGTAAGTTACTGAAAATCACCAGAGAGGGACGAAAGAGCAGTCAGTATGTTGTTATGCTATTCCTCTATCACTTTTTTTTTTTTTAGGCATTGCCTATACAGGGTAAGCTGTGGGAATAAAGACAGGTATACAACACTTAGGACACTTAATTAGATGTTTCAGCTTCTTGGGGCTTTTTCAGTCACTGGGCTAAATATCTCATAATAAAAGTGTCCTAAGGGTTGCATTTTTTTTTTACCATATTGGCCATCCCCCATCAATAAGGTAGGGTGAACTAAAAAACGAAACATTCACAGCCATTCTTTCAAAAGCTGTTTTGCCGGAAGTGTGGAGATATTACAATTCAAATGATCCTCCAGACCAAAACATCCCCACCCCTCCAGGATTCAAGTCAAGCTAACCAGTTTCCCTCTGAATCTCTCTTTATGTTATTTTAGCACACTCCAACACTATGTCAGATCCCTAAAGTCACTCATCACCATTCAACCCAATGTAATGCACACACATGCACGTTCACACTCACCAGCACGCACGCAAACAGGCGCACGTACATGTGCATGTACGCACACGTGCACACGCGCACACACATACACATTGCATTTTCTTGGACTGCAAGAAGGCGTTTGACACAGTTCCACACAAGAGATTGGTGCAAAAACTGGAGGACCAAGCAGGGATAACAGGGAAGGCACTACAATGGATCAGGGAATACTTGTCAGGAAGACAGCAGCGAGTCATGGTACGTGGCGAGGTGTCAGAGTGGGCACCTGTGACCAGCGGGGTCCCGCAGGGGTCAGTCCTAGGACCAGTGCTGTTTCTGGTATTTGTGAACGACATGACGGAAGGAATAGACTCTGAGGTGTCCCTGTTTGCAGATGACGTGAAGTTGATGAGAAGAATTCACTCGATCGATGACCAGGCAGAACTACAAAGGGATCTGGACAGGCTGCAGACCTGGTCCAGCAATTGGCTCCTGGAGTTCAATCCCACCAAGTGCAAAGTCATGAAGATTGGGGAAGGGCAAAGAAGGCCGCAGACGGAGTACAGTCTAGGGGTCAGAGACTACAAACCTCACTCAAGGAAAAAGATCTTGGGTGAGTATAACACCAGGCACATCTCCTGAAGCGCACAACAACCAAATAACTGCTGCAGCATATGGGCGCCTAGCAAACCTCAGAACAGCATTCCGACATCTTAATAAGGAATCATTCAGGACCCTGTACACCGTGTACGTTAGGCCCATATTGGAGTATGCGGCACCAGTTTGGAACCCACACCTAGCCAAGCACGTGAAGAAACTAGAGAAAGTGCAAAGGTTTGCAACAAGACTAGTCCCAAAGCTAAGAGGTATGTCCTACGAGGAGAGGTTAAGGGAAATCAACCTGACGACACTGGAGGACAGGAGAGATAGGGGGGACATGATAACGACATACAAAATACTGAGAGGAATTGACAAGGTGGACAAAGACAGGATGTTCCAGAGATTGGACACAGTAACAAGGGGACACAGTTGGAAGCTGAAGACACAGATGAATCACAGGGATGTTAGGAAGTATTTCTTCAGCCACAGAGTAGTCAGTAAGTGGAATAGTTTGGGAAGCGATGTAGTGGAGGCAGGATCCATACATAGCTTTAAGCAGAGGTATGATAAAGCTCACGGCTCAGGGAGAGTGACCTAGTAGCGATCAGTGAAGAGGCGGGGCCAGGAGCTCGGACTCGACCCCCGCAACCTCAACTAGGTGAGTACAACTAGGTGAGTACATGTGCACTCACACATATGCACTCACACATATGCACTCGCACGTATGCACTCACACATATGCACTCACACTCACATGTGTGCACACACACACACACACAACACACACACACACACGCTGGATGCTCAGGTCCCGATCACTTAACCCTTAAACTGTCCAAACATAGATCTTCGTTCGCTTGCGTAGCACTCCGAACGTAGATCTACGTTTTTTTTACATGCTTTCTTATGGAAAGAATGAAGGTCTGAGCACTACTCGTGGAAAGTTAGAGCTACATTTGGACAGTTGAAGGGTTAACACCTTCAATAGGACAACTCGTAGCCCTCCTTACTTCCACCCTGGGTTTATTACACCCTCTTAGTCATTCTGTTCTATTTCATCCTCTAAATGCTCAAACTATCTCAGTAACTCTTCCCTTGTGTTCTGATTACACACCATCATTTAATTTCTGTGCTTGATTTCTTTGCACAATATTCATACCACATATTGCTCTCAGGTGTTACATACATGTCTTTATTCTGACAGTTTGTCAGTATTGCTGTACATAGAACATGTAGCCACAGTAAACTGTCTTGTATGCTTCCCCAGACTTCTTCCAATTCTAACCCTCCGTATTTAATTGAAAACGATGTGTGAAATTTAGGATTTTCTGAATCAAGTAAAAAAAAAAAAGTGATAGATTTTAATTTACATTCTGGACTAATTTTTAATTTTATAAATAAAAATTTAAATTCCATCTTATATTTCAGACAAACAGAAAATTTTAAGAGATACTACTTTCCTGTACTTTGAACATTCTTTTAAATTTAATATGTTGCGTGAATAGGCTAGAGGTGGTGGATTTTAAGAATTTCCAAGTTTGAAAAACTGGACCACCCATCTGTTCGTATCATTCTGAATAAGAGAAAGATATACCTGCTTTAGCATTCTTTTTTTTTTTTTCCTCATTAAAGTTATTAATGCAAACAAGGAGAAACATCTTCACTAAATATCTGTCTATCGATTATCTTTACTTCCCTTCCCATAGAAATGGAGTGAATCATCCATGGCTCAGCCCCTCATCTCACCCCTGTGTACCCTCGACTTAAATACAGTGAGTTGGAGTATAGAGCTTCTTCCACACTGCAACAGTGTTTCATCTTCATTCACAGCACGAAGGGCTCTTGATCTAAGGAACTGAAGCTAAGCTTCACTTCCTCAGATCAAACCTGTTAACCTTCTATCCCTTGGTACTGTATGGCCCTTATGGGTTTAGTGCTTTCCAATGAATATAATAATTGTTTCACTGCACTCAGTTGGACAGGTAAAATCTACACCTCTGTTTGCTCTCAAATTCTCCCATAAAGTCCTTTCACTGATAATGGCCCATACTAGTTATTCATTTTTTGTATCATCTTATCTTGTAATAGCTCAATTTAGTGTAGTTGGTGTCCATCGCTTTATGCATTAGATGCATTCCAGATCCATGGCAGCTGTACTAAGTTTAGTCAAGCCATCAACACTTAATTTTGCTTGATAAGAATGTTTAATATGTTTTTCAAACCATACCGTTGGCAGATATCATGTGTACAGTATAGTACACATACATAATTACCAATAAAAATGAGATATGGCATAATAGTGAATCCACTTCAAGCGAATGAGCATAAAGCGAGGGAAACCTGTATGTACCCAGCTCCTCTTTGGTCTACTCACTTGGCTTTGTTCCCTTTATAACACTTGTGTTATCTTTGTAACACTTTCATCAGTCTTCACTATTTACCCTTGAAGGAAGGGAGTACATATAGGGTGCCTTGATGCTGGTGAAAGGCTCATGAGCCAAGGAATTAAAAGTTACTCTTTCCTTCCTGAGATCAAACTAAATTACTGTCTATTCCTCAGGTGCTGTGTGACCTTTCCAGGTTTAAAATTTCCCTGAGATTATAACACTGTAATAATCCAGTTGGGTACATTCGTCCCATGGCCATGCTGCTTTAATTTCCTTGCCTCTGTTTGGCACTCCAGTGACTTGGTACTCCACATAAATTTCAGGTCTCCAGTTTAAACTGATTTATTATTTATTAAAATATGCTTTTTATGCCAAGTATATTACACTAAATGTACATCCCAACTAGTTTGAATAGGTCATTAACATAAAGCTTACACAATAGTTTCCCCTCTCACAACTCAGAATACATTTTCCCATAGACACCCACGTTATAATTGATCCATTCCTTAGCCAAAATATTCTATCTTATTTCATATCTTTCTGTTTTACCTGAGAATATTCACCCAGTATTTTGCATTCATATGATAGGTTGGATAGGAGAGCTGTATAAGAGGGACCTGGAGATGTGACTAAGGAACAGAGGAAATGTTAATTTAGTGCCAGGAATGTCTACATTTTTTATAATGGACACTATTTTCAAATTGGCAATTATTGAATTTTGTATGAAATTGGCCAAATTATTGATTTCTTATCACTTTATTGGGTAGTTGAAATAGGTAAATGGGCAGGTTCTTGTACTCAGTTGATAGAATAGAAGGAATACTAGCAAAATATCTATGAGTTTGGTGAACTGGAACAATGCAGTTAGAGCACAAAGTGAGCAAAATCGCCAATGCGTAAATATCACAGAGACCGTTAACTTTGTGAGAGCGTAATTCTGTAAGTTTTCCATCAAATTTCATACTTTTGGTTTCATTACCTTTGGAAAAAGATTCTCTGTCATTCATAAGATAAATTTTTTTTTTTTAAATTCTTCAACCCTGAGAGCTGGTTTGAGAGTAGGGGTCTCAATAGTGAGAGGAGTTAAAAATAAATGTGGAAAAGAGTAAAATGTTGAGGAAGTAACAAAAAGTCTAGGTAGTGAAAGACTGAATATGAAATTGGAGGGAGTATAGAGGAAGTGAATGCATGTAGATATTTGGGAGAAGACATGTCTGCAGATGGGTCTATGAAAAATGTGATGAACCATAGAATAGATGAAGGTAAAAAATGGTGAGTGGTGGTTTGAAGTATCTGTGGAAAGAAAGAAGTTTATCTAGGGAAGGGAATGTACCAGAGTATAGTGATACAAACACTTTTATATGGATGTTAGGCATGGATTTTGAATGCTGCAGTGAAGAGGGGGCTAGAGTTGGTGCATATCTCATGTTTGAGAGTACTGTTTGGTGTTAATATCATGCAGAGAATTCAGAGCATAGAAATTAAGTAATGTGTGGTGACCTGAGGGTATAATTCAGAGGGCTGAGGAATGGCTGTTAAGGTAGTTTGGGCATGTAGTGATGATGGAAAGGGCGTATACACCTTGGGTGAAAAGTAGGAGGGGAAGGGGTCATCCTAGGAATGGTTGGAGGTAGGGGGTACAAGAGGCTTTGAGTTTTATGGGCTTCAGCATCCAGCAGACTCATGTGAGTATGTTAGACAGGAGTGCATGGAGAGCTCAAGAGCTCCATTCAAGACAGAAGATACATCAAAGCTGGAAAATGGACAGAGATCATTTACTGTAGACATATTCAATGAAGTTTTTCTTCTTATTTTTAGTAATTTATACAGGAGAAGGGGTTACTAGCCCAATGCTCCCAACATTTTAGTCGCCTTTTACAACACGCATGGCTTATAGTGGAAAGATTCTTTTCCATTTCCTCATGGAGATGAAATAGATAAGAACAAGAACTATTTAGAAAATAGAAGACAGTTCGGATTGGTGTGTATACATATATGTGTACATGTATATGTAGTGTGCCTAAGTGTAAGTAGAAGTAGCAAGACATACCTGTTTTCCTGTGTGTTTATGAGACAGGAAGAAAAGACACCAGCAGTCCTGCAATTGTGCAAAACAATTACAGGTTTCTGTTTCACACGCTTTTACAGGACAGTAGTATTTCCTTGGGTGGTTGCTAAATGGTGTTGATATGGTGCAGTTTTCTAATTGTAGTGTAAGTGCACCTCTGGCAAGACATTGATGGAATGAATGATGATGGAAGTATTTCTTTTTTTTTTGGGGGGGGGGGGCAGGGTACCCTGCCTTAGTGAGAAATGGCTGATGTATTAATAAAAAAAAATAAAGAAAATATTCACTGAAGCATGTAAACAACTGGGAACTACTTTCAGGTGTTTTCAAAATAGGGGGTTTTAGTACTCAAATATACTCTGGAGCAGAGAGAAAGAGATGCCTCATAATATATGCCTGGAGGGCCAGGTCCTAAATCTATGTATTACCATAACTTGCTGGAGTAAGAGATATGAGAGGAAGTGTAAAGTAAATTCAATGGAGCATCATAAGCACAATAAGAGAACTCTGTTAACATCTGCAATCAAAGACTTTTCAACCTGCTATTACAGGTCCGCCATCACAAATCCGGCAATCAGTTATTCGGTTCCTTCAGTTATTCAGCACTAATTTTGGCTAGCATAATTTCAAATTTCCAAGGTCACCACACCAACCTGCTGGTACTGTTTGGCAGCGCTACTTGTTGCATAAGTCATTCCAATTTCTTTTTCTCCATTTATTGTTTTAACCTGCTTAGTTTTAGCCCTAGCCATAGTTCCAATGAATAAAAGAAATGCTTCTCGTTATGTAAAGCACCTACACAGTACATTATCCATTAAAGATAAGGTGACTTTGAAGCCACTGTCGGTTGCTATGAGCTCAGTCTCATGAAGCAGGAAAATATGCTTTATTATTATGCTAATATCAACACTACAGCTTATTTGCCTATCACAATTGATCTAATATGACATAATAAACAATATAAATAACATAAAACATGTTAAATATTCCAGAATAAATAATATTTGGCATAACACAGAGCAGTTCGATGGAGGTATGAAGAGGATATGGTATACAAATAGTACAATTCTCCTATCCCTGTCTTGGGGCTTATATTAGAGAAAACGGAGTATAGCACAGGGCTAACTGTGATATACACTCGTACTGCACCATAAACCTGAAACAAAAAAGTTATTTTCTCTATATAGATTATCACACACAGCAGCATATGTGTAGAGAACCTAGGATAACCCAAAAATTTCAACGTGGCTTATTTTTAGTACCTGGCTTGGGTTACCTATATATGATTTTTGGTAAATATTCAATTCCCAGCCAGGGTAGAAACATTAGGCGTGTTTCTTTACACCTGTTGTCTATGTTTACCCATCAGTAAATGGGTACCTGGGTGTTAGCCGACAAGTGTGGGTGCTATCCTGGGACACTGACCTAATTTTCTTGAAATACATACTCTGCATAACAAACGGCTTTCTATACAGTAGTATGTCACTGATGTCAGCTAGGCCTGTATACCTTGTACATGTACGTGTAGTAAATAAAGATATTATTATTATTATATTATTATTATTATTATATTATTATTATTATTATTATTATTATTATTATTATTATTATTTATTATTATTATTATATTATTACATATTATTATTTTCTCAGTTATTTGTTGGGTTATCTTATTCAAACTTGGGCAATGTATGATGGAAAGATACTTCTTAACGTACACCAAAAATGAAAGAAATCAGACCATAAATTACGGAGTTCACTTCTCAGCCATTAGCGGCCGCTTAGCGGTATATTTTTGTATGTTTTTATGGTTATATTCTCAATTTTTCGGTCTCATTTGATAGAATGAAATATATATTACAGAAATAGATATGATTTTGATTGCTTTCATGATGAAAAGTACCTTGAAATTGCGCTCACAGTAGCAAAAATGTTCTGTTCTTTAGCGAAGCTCAAGAGTAAACAAATGATGTCACCGTCCAATACCTGTCTGCCTGCCAGTCCAAATTCCAATACGTAGTCTTGGTTGACATTATTTATACAATTATTATAATAATAAAATAATGCAGTAGTCTGCATAACAGTAAATCTTCTATTTTTTGTGTGAATAAAAATTCCAAATTTGGTAAGCAAGAGTAATATAAGGGGGGCCCTGGAGCCATGACTAATGAACAGGGGAAAATGTTATTTTAGTGCCAGGAATGTTGCATTGTTTATTCTGGACCCTATTTTGAAATTGGCATCTGTTGAAATTTGTGGTGAAATCGGCCAAACTGCCAATTTCTGACCACTTTATTGGGTAGTTGAAATAAGTGAA